CAGTGCAGGAGGGGAAGACCCTCTATGAGGTGGATTGATTCAGTGACTGGGGTAATCGGGATGGGTATGTCAGAGACAGTGCGATTGGCACAGGATAGAGCAGGGTTTAGGGCTGTTGTACACAGGGTCACTATGAGTTACAAGCGACTTGATGGCACATAACAACAACAACAACAATGATTTCCTTTAATTATTTTTAATTCATTGTTTCCCAGTGTCTTCTCCTCTTCTTCCCCCCTCCTCCAGCACACCTCTCAATGCACCCCTTGTTCCAGACTGTTGTCATACAGATAATGCCTAATCATATATTCCTTTTGGATAGTTCTTCCTCTCATCAGTTCTAATGCAGTATTCATTAACCATCCTCTCTTTCCTATTCTTTCCCTAACCCCACACCCCATCTGTCCTTTTTCATAATAGTGAGATTATGCAGTATTTGTCCTTTTGTGACAGAAATATTTTACTCATCATAATGCCCTCCAGCCTAGAGCAGCTATTTTTAAAAAGAGGCAAGAGAAAAGAGGGTTCTTGGTAAACAGAAGATGAAATCCTTATAATCCTAGGCTTTACAATGGATTATGAAGATAAAGCCGAGAAAGTATCCCTTGGCCGACTAAGTGTGGACAGTTTTTCACCCAGACCTCAGAAGTAGCCAGTGCCCAGTGCAGTGTCATGCGTGGCTAATATTTGTAGCTTGATCTTCTCTGCACCTGTCTACACCCATTCAGGCTTCTCAAGGGTAAATAGTGATGCTATTGTCCAGCCCAGGTGGGGCCTCAGAATTCCTTTCACACTTGTCCACCAGTTGCAACAAATCTATCAGGAATGGCAGGAAAGACAGAAAGATTGTACCATGTGATGTCCATCTCAGGACGCAGGATTCTTAGGAAGGACCTGCCAGTTAAAATACTAGATACTTATTCAGATTCTAATTTCAGAGCCATAAAGAATACCTTTCTTTAGAAAGGTACTGGATGACACAAATAGTTTGCACTTGGTATCAGCCTAAAAGATGGTAGTTCAAACCTACTGAATGGCTTTACAAAACACTTGACAACATACTTTTGTAGAGATTACAGCAATTATAACCCTATTGATCATTAACAGTCTGTAATATGTGGAGTTAAGATTATTGTCAGGTTCAGATAGCTTGGCTCTACAATCAACACTATTGGTACCAGCAGTCAGGAAATTAAAAGATGAATTGGGAAAGTCTGCTGTCTGGGACTTTTCCAACTACTGAAGAGCAGTGATGTCAGGCTAGAGACTAAGATGTGCCTGATTCAGGCCATGGTCTTTGCAATTACTTGTTACGCATCATAGAGTTGGACTAGGGATGATAGAAGGAGAGTTGATGATGCCTTTGAGCTGTGGTGCTGGAGAAGAGTATTCAACTGCTAGGAGAACGAACAAGTTAAGCCAAACTGGTCCTTGGAGACAAGGATTCTGAAGCTCTGTCTGACATAATCTGGACATGCTGCAAGGTGGTATCAGTCCTTGGAGAGGGATGTCATGCTTGGGAGGGTGGAGGGACAGCACGGGAGAGGAAGATCCCTGATGAGATGGATTGTTTCAGACACTGGAGTAAAGAAGATGGGCATGTCAGAGACAATAAGATTGGCAAGGGATAGAGCAGTGTTGTACATAGGGTCGCTATGAGTCGTAGGCAACTTGATGGCACATAATAACAACAACGATACGTAGAGTTACCATGAATCCGAACAGACTTGATGGCAAGGAGTTTATAAAAAAAAATTTCTTTAGTAAGTATATCCAAACATTGCATGGGATATACATACCAACATACTGACACTGTTTCTCTGTAAAACAAACCTAATTTAGTGTTTCACATGCTTATTTTCTATGGTTGGCAACATTATTCTATGAACCCAGCAACTGTCCCACGGTAGAAAGGTGGCCAGTCTCCTCTGGTCAATTGACAGCCTCTGAAAACTCACTGGGAGTTGGCTATGAGTTGATTGCAACTTAACAGCAATTAGGGGGGTTTTTGAGTCTTGCTCTGGTGAACTTATGGCCAAGTCAGTAGGGAGTTATGCTACCAACCCAAGGGCAGGTGGTTCAAATCCACCAGCTCCTCCAGCGAAGAAAGATGAGACATCTATTTTCATGATATTTACAATCTTTGAAAATTCACCGGAGGGTCAGCTATCATGTGGTTCCAACTTGAATTGAGTTGATTCTGGTGGCACAGTCTTTTGAGAGCTGCACCCCTAACTCCAAGGTGTCTTCTCCCTGCCGATTTGACTCCACCAGAGCCTTCCAGGGAGAAAGATGGGCAGTTTCCTCCCATGTGATTTTCAGCCTCCAAAACCCACTGGAGGGTCAGCTATGAGTCAGTTCCCACTAGGAGGCATTGAATTGAGTTTTTGATGAAGGGTGATGCTGAAGAAACTTCCTGAAATAGCTACTTGGATGATTTGAAAGCTCACTATCTTTAAGATGTTATCTGACCTTATGTAGCTCAAAATGTAGGGAAGAGACAGTTTCTGCTAATGATGCTAGGCTTTCAAAGCAGAACTCAGCCTGTGCAGTAGTCAGGAGAATATGGGTGTCAACCACCAGGAGCCAGCAGAGACCAACAGATTCTAGGAGAGACTATTTCCTAATGACAATCATTGTGTCTGTATTCAGGCTGAGACCCTTTGTCCACAGCATGTCTTCTGCAGGACTCAGTTCTCTCAGTGCCTGGATGGTACACTAGCCAGGAAGGTGATGGACCCTGTTAGACAAGTGAAAGGAAGAGGCCTGGGAAGCCCTGAATGTTTCTGGGGCTCAGTCATTACTGGTATCTCATAGAACCTGATGAAAATGGAGATAGATATCACATAAGCCCTGGAGGGTGCCTTGATTTCCCCCCTCTTAAAAAGCATTTATTCTTTTTGAGCTAGATAAATAAGAATACCATGATTTCTTCACTTCATTCTTTATCCTACGCCTTTCTCCACTCCCTTCTCCCACACTGAGATTACCACTATAAGTCCTGGCCAAATTAAAGCAAGGATATTCATTTGTGATATGAGATCTTCACGCTCAGGAGCAATGTCAAGTTATCGGTGAGAATTAGCTTTGAGAAAAACAAGGCTGAGTTGATAATAAATATTGGTTAAAATGCATAGCCTGCTTGAAGTTCAATGAAGAAATCAATCATATTTTGCTATCTGCTTCTGATGCTAACTTCACATTCATATGGTAGATGAGATCTGTTCAATTTGAACCATAATCATTAGATAGGAGTGAAAATCCTTGGTGTTATACATGGATTATAAACAAGTAGTTGCCCTCTCTTGAAATTTACATGCTGTTATTATTGTCATTATTGTCTATACTTTTTATTTCATGGATTAAACCCTGTGGCAAGATTTTCAACCTCAGTACTAGAGATGTCTTGGGTCAGTTGTTTTTGTTGATTGCTGGTGAGTTGAGCACGACTCACAGTGAGCCTGTGAACAAAAGACCTGAAGCCTTTCTATAATTATAGACGTTTATCAAAGTTCATAGAGTTTCCAGGGGCCTGTTGTTTAGGAAGTTGATGCCACTCATGCTTCCAATTTTTGGTCAGAGGTCCTTTGTATTTCATCTCTGGACCTTACACACTAGATGCTAACAGCACAACAAATTGTAACATCCAAAAATTGCCTCCAGATACCGTCTAATGTCTCTTGCTGAAAGGATATCCATATGTGTTTCATTGTTGTTATTATATGCTGTCAACTCACCTGCATCTCGTAGTAACCCAATGCACTATAGCTCTGAACCCTACCCTATCCTGAAGCAATCTCACTGTCTCTGACACACTTACCCCATAACCCCAGTTACTGTACCAATCTATCTCATTTGGGGTCTTCCTCTCCTGTGCTGTCCTTCCATCCTTCCAAGTATGTTGTCCATCTCCAAGGACTGATCCCTCCTTGCTACATGCCCAAAGTATGTTAGATAAAGTATCAAAATCCTTGCCTCCAACGAGTAACTTGTCTTCACCTTCTCCAGGACAAACGCATTTGGCAGCCCATGGTGTGTTCAATAATCTTCTTCAG